GGGATTAGACAGATTCTCCTTGTTATTCTGAGACTTTAATTTAAAAAAAAAAATTTTTTTTTGGGTACCAAGGATAGAACTCGGGTCCTTGCCCTTGCAAGGCAGGTAGCGGAACCACTGAGCTAAATCCCTGGCCCCTGAGATGTTAATTTAAGAAGGCAAGCCAGGCGTGGTGGTGCATGCTTGTAGTCCCAGCCCTGAGGAGGCTGAAGCAGGAGGATCATGCGTTTGAGGCCAGCCTGGACTACACAGTGAATTCAAGGCCAGCCTCAACTATGCAGCGAGACCATGTCTCATAAAGGGGGGGGGGCTGGGTGTGTAGCTCAGCATAAAGGTCCTGGCTTCAATTTCGTTTTGGGCCAGGGATTTAGCTCAGTGGTTTGGTGGCCGGCCTGGCAAGCCTCAAGGACCTGAATTCGAACTCTGGTACCAAGAACAAAAACAAAACAAAAAAATCAATTTCCAGTTTCACACACACAAAGGGCCACCATGAAAGTGAAACTACCACATAAGAAAGCACGCATAGAACTACATCCTCGCCACCCTTCTTCCTGAAGGAATAATGCCTGCCTGCCAGTGGTGAAATGGGGCATTTATGTCATCTTTTTTCTTTAGTACTGGGGATAAAATTTGGGACCTTGGATTGGAAGGCAGGCAGCAGCACCACTGAGCTAAATCCCCAATCCTACATCATGTTTTTTCTAACAGGTGAAGAGAGACAGATTCATATAATCACATGAGCCTTTTGGGGTCTATTTTCTCTAGGTGAACCAGAGGTTTCAATTGCTCTGCAAAGTTCCTCATGTCATCAGAGACCATGTCCTGCCCAGCTGGGGCAACAACACTTAATTCCACAAGATAGGAGAGTGACAAGGCCTCAGTGCTGTCTGTGTTTCCTGTCACAAGGATGCGGAAAATCTTGTACACCATAATTTTCATGATGCCCTTACGGAACAGGTGTCCCTTGGCAACAAACTCATGGTCCATGCGGAAGCCCATTTCCATCAAGAAGTCGGTGAGGTTCTCAGACGTGGCAATGTCTACACAGTTTCGCACCAGGGCATGGCGGTTCTTGTCTCCCATTTCTGGCTGTCCCAGATAGCGCAGATGCCAGGGTGCTCCAGCCCGATCCATAGAGCGCCGGGCCCTGAGGACAAATGGGCTGGCCTGCTGGCCTTTAAGGAGGAACACCATCTCGTGGTCAAGGAAAGTCTCAGGTTCCATGTTGTCACACAGACCACGAAGGCGGTGGAGGAGGCTTTCCAAACTGTGATCTAAAACACTCCCTGAGGAGGGAAAAGCACGGTTGAGTCCTAGTTTTTATTCTGGGTCATGGAAGTAGCAAAAGAATAAAAGATCAAAGCAATTTAGGGCAGCATTTTATAAAACACAGGGCCAATACATGATATTTTTCAAGGAGTTATATTGCTAAGCTATTGCATATTATAAGGAAGTTACTTTAAATTTTTTGTATTTTGGGGGGAGTACTGGGGATCAAACTCTGGACTTTGTGCTTGTGAGGCAGGCATAGTGCCACTGAGCTAAATCCCCAGCCCTGCATTTTCTTACTTGGCATTAGAGTCTTTAGGATTCCTCTAGTAATGCCAATCTCTAGGAGCCTGGGCAGCAGTAGCTATCAGTAAGAGTAACAGTTCTATTTTGTTATCAGCTATTTTAACAATTATTTTTCCTTCCCTCTTTTCTCTCCCTTTCCTGCTCTCTTTTGCAGTATGGGGGATTGAGACCAGGGCCTTGGCACTGAACTACATCCCTAGCTCCTCTCTGTATTTGTCTGTCTCTGTCTCTGCTTCTCTCTCTGGTGTTGGAGACTGAACTCAAGGCCCCACACGAGCTCAGCACAAGTTCTACCACCTAACTGCACTCTCAATCACAATTATCTTCTCTTTCCAGTAAATAAAAGTCTTCCACTTATTAAAAAACTAGTTTCCTTTTCACTTAATATACTTAAGAAAAACAATGAACATTTCATAGAAACTCATCAGGTTTAGTCCTTTTACTCATTCTTAATGAATCTGACATGGCAGCTATAGTACATTATACCCCTTTGAAATCTACTTTTCCTTTTGCTTCTGGGACACAAGCCTCTTTCAGTTCTTCACTGAACTCAAGGACTACTCAGTCTTTCTCATTTTCCCTTAATGATGGAAGATCCTAGGATTTACTCCTGGTCCTTTTCTCCATTAACTCTCATACTCCCTCAATAATCTCATTGGTCCATGGCTTTAAAACACCTCTTATTCCCCAAGACACTCACATTTGTAGTTTATGAATTATACATGCATACATCCAATTATCTGCTCAACTTTGCCACTGAAATGCGTAACAGACATCTGCATCTCTAGCCCATTTTTTATTTTAAGGCAGGGTTTTGCTAAATTGCTGAGTTGCCCAGGCTGGGCTTAAATTTATAATCTTCCCGTCTCAGCCTCCCAGAATGCTGAGATTACAGGTGTCACCACACCCAACTCATACATTTCATATATGTTTAATATTAAATTGTTGATTTTCCCTCCCTAAATCTTATTTTTCCTATAGTTTTCCCCATCAGAGTAAAAGGTGATTCTCTGTTTCAAGTTACCCAGGTCAAAAATCATGGAAACATCTTTGACTCCTTTCTTTCTCCCACATCCTACATCCATTCAATCATACTTTGAAGTAAAAGCAAAATTTAACTACCTTTCACTCCTTTGATCAGTAGCTCAAGTTGCTTTCACTTCTTGACTGGTCTTTGCAGTAGCCTGTTTCTACCCTTGATTTTCTTTTCCAAAACAGCCACATGATCTTTTTAAGATCTAAGGCCTGGGGCTGGGGATATAGTTCAGCAGTAGACTACTTGCCTGGGATACATGAGGCCCAGGGCTCAATATCCAGTACCCAAAAAAAAGGCACGGGGCTGGGGTTGTATCTCGGTGATACAATGCTTGCTTAGCAAGTATGAGGATCTAGATTCAATCTCCTGCACCCCAAAATAATACATAAAATATAAATGACACTCCTTGCTGTGTCACCCGGGATAAAATGGTCTTTATGATTGTTTACAGAGCCCTATATATTATGTCTCTGTTTCCATCCAACATCATCTTCAACTCTCCCCCTTATCACGCTGTCCAGGCAAAGTGATTTGCTACTGCCTGAAAATGCCAAGTATCTCACAATGTATTTCTCTTGAGAGAGCCTTCCCTTCTTCTCTATGCTAAGGATGTTCTCCCTTTGTACAGCTTCATGTTTTACTCTGTCACTTTCTTCATGTCTCTGCTCAAATGTCACTTTATGGCACAAGCTGACATTGGGACTTAAATGAAAACAAGCAGGGCTAGAAGAAAAGTGATGAACCAGGTCCTAGTAATCATGGGATACAAGATGTCAGGAGCAGGGAGCGGCTCACCGTTGTATCCCACATTCAGGGCAGTAGCACACACGTTCATTCCTCATTTTAGGTGCTGTGTAAGTGATGGTTCATTCAACATGTGTTCTGAATGTGGTGCCGGACACTGAGCACTAGGAGGCACTGCTCTTATGAATATTGCAGTGAGGCGAGGGATAGCAAGTAAATAAATAAATAGAAACAGAAGGAAATAAAAGGGATATGAAAACTGGTGGAAAGGGAGGGTGGACCATTATGAGAGGTTGGAATGGTCAGAAAACCCAAAAGGAAGACAACTGAGTGAAGACCTGAAGGGTGAAAATGAGCTGACTATTTGAATAGCTGAGAAAATGTTCTTAGGGCAGAGGGATCAGCAAATGCAAAGACACTGAGGCAGGAAAGGGTATGGCAAATTCAAGGAAATGAAAGTGGTTTTCAGTGGTGGTCCACACCTATAATCTCAGCATTCTGGTAGGCTGAGGCAGGAGGATCCTAATTTTGATCCTAGTCTCACAACTCAGCAATTTACCAAGACCCTGTCTCAAAAGAAAAAATGGACTGTGGCTCAGTCCAAAGGCTCTGGGTTCAATCCCCAGTAGCATATAAACACACAGACACAGACACACACAAAATAGTTGTTCATACTGTTACTGAATGAATTCTCTAAATTACAAAGTCTAAAATCTTTCACAATACATATTGTTTTGATCTCCTAAAAATTAGTACCCTCCCTGGGTCTCAAATTTTCTCATCTGGGCAAGTTACCTTACTACTGTTTCCTGATCTATAAGAGCTAATAAAAGCATCATCTTATAAGTTGTTATGAGAATTGTATACATGATGGTGAATGCCTATAATCTTAGCACTTGGGAGGCTGAAGCAGGAGGATCACTGTGAGTTTGAGGCTATCCTGGGCTACACAGTGAGTACAAGGTATTCCTGAACTACATAGTAGGACTCTGTCTCAAAAAACAAAACCAAACCAAACAATAAATAAGTGGTCAATACTCATAAAGTACCTGGTATAGGGCAGAGCCTCAAAATCATTAGCTATTACTATTATTATTTTTTAAAGTATCTGAGTCATCTTTCAGAAATCACTACGTTTAACTAAAAAAATAACTGTCCAAGGACAATTATTTGTCTCAAGATTGACCCAAGAGAAAAGAAAATGTGTCTATAAAATATTTATAAGTTAGTTCAAGTAGCAAGTCTTAGTGGTTCCAGTGCCTGCCTCAAAAGCACAAGGTCCTGAGTTCGATCCCGGGTACCAAATAAAACAAAACAATCAAAAACTTCTGCTCTGCAAAAAATAGTCAAATGGGACTATCTCAAATACTTCCATGTTTCAAAGGAAACACCAACAAAGTGAAAAAGCAACTTACAGAATAGAAAAAAAAAGTTTCAAAATCAGAGGTTATTATTCAGAATATATAAGTAACTCCCACAGCTCAACTAAAACAAAAACAAAACAAAAAAATCCTCAAATAACCCAATATAAAAATGGGCAAAGAACTGAACAGATAATTCTCCACAGGAACATATGAATAACATTGTGTCACTAATAACTAAAGAAATGTAAATCAAAACCACAATATCATCTCACACTCATTAGGATCAAAAGAAATCTATCAAAAGAAATCTACAAGCATTGGTGTGGATATGGAGAAACTAGAACTCTCATGTTGGGTGGAAGGTAAACATGTAGCCCTTTAAGGAAAATAATGCTAAAGCATCTCCAAAACTACAAATAAAAGCCCAGGTACAATAGTACATGCCTGTACACCTAGCTTCTTGGGAGGCCGAGGAAGGATGATAACAAGGGTGTGAGGCCAGCCTAATACATTTGAAATCATAATTTGAAATTAAATTAAAAGAATTTCCTATTGGGTGCCAGACACTTCAGGCTGTCTTTGTTTAAGTCTCTGATCTCCAGTAGATCTGAACAGAAAAGAGGAAAACAAGGCCCTGTCTGGTTGGGTCTATCCCCTGTGGTGATAGCTCAGGGGTATGGCACTTGCCTTGTATGCATGAGGCCCTGGGTCTGATCCCCAGCACTGCTAAATAAATAAATAGCAGATAGAATTAGCTGGATATGGTAACACATGCCTGTAATCCTGGCACTTGGAAGGGTGAGCCCGAAGGATTGTGCTTTTGAAGCCAGCCTCAGCTATACAGAAAGTTAGAGACCAGTTGGGGTACACAGCAAGACCCTGTTCTCAAAAAACAAAAATTTATTATTATTATTATTTTTTGGTACCGGGGATTGAACTTGGGAAACAAAACACTATGATTCAGTATGTCCCACTTCTGAGTAAATATTTAAAACAGGATTTCAAAAAGTTATCTGCACATTCATGTTCATTGTAGCACTATTCATGACAGCCAGAAGGCAGAGGCAACTCAAATGTCTATCAGTAGATGGATACTGAAAATGCGGAATGTATATATGCATGTTATGTAACGCGCGCACGCGCGCACACACACACACACACACACACACACACTACGAAGCTTTTTTAAAGATGTCATATGCTGTAACATAGACAAACCTCAAGGTTATTATGCTAAGTAAAGTAAAATAGGAAAGAACAAATACTGTTATTCCATTTATATCAAATATCTAAATAGTCAAAATAGAAAACAAAGTAGAAAGGTAACTGCTAAGCAACGGAATAGAAGGAAAAAGGTATTAATATTTAATGGGTATAGAATTTCAGTTTTGCAAAAGGAAAAAGGTCTAGAGATCTAATGTACAACAATGTTAAATGTTTATGATGGCAAATTCATTGTGTTTCATATATTTGAAATCATGATTTAAAATTAAATTAAAAGAATTTCGTGTTGGGTGACAGCAACTGCAGGTTGTCTTTGTGTAAGTCTCTGATCTCCATGAGAGCTGAACAGAAAGGAGGAAAACAAGTAAACCAAGCTCCCTGATTCACCCACCTTGCAGTAAGTACTCCATCATGTTAATGGTGCCTCCAGTGACAGGCATCATGGTGACTGGAGGTGCCTCCATTGTGTCTGTCTGATTAAGTTGAAGACAACAGAACTGGATTTGGAGCTCCCAATCAGACAAGCCACAGGATACACCTGTAAAAGTTATACTTGTTGAAATGTCACAGTGATGGAGAGACACCAGATATGATGTGGCATTGGCCTTGAAGTCAAGATTCAGTCATACAAAACCGAGTATAGTGTCTGCTTAAAATGGCCCGTTCCATGAACTGGTGACAAAAACATGTAACAGAAATCTGGCCATGGAATTACGGCAAAACCTCGTAGTTCTGAAACCTCCAAAAGTTACCTGTGCAACTTTGAGAAAATCATGTAACCTCTCACCCTCTTTTCCTTATAAAATGGGGCCAGTGATATTTAACTCTCAAAGCTAAGGCGGTCAAATCACATAATGGGCATGCAATAACATTCCTAAAGTTACAGGAAAACTGGTAAGTGACTTAATGGGCCTTTTGTATGCTTCATTTTATAGTTGATGATATGACTTGAAGAGGGGCACAAGGACACGCACAGCAAGTGAGTAGCAGTGCCTGGAGCTGGCTAGAATGCAGGCGTTCTGCCTCTCTGAAAACAGTTCTAAAAGCTAGCTAGAAGAAAGCGTGAAGACTCTTTAAAATGATGGTATAGGTCCTCCAAAGACGGCATCCAGGAAACTGCAATTACACTACAGAAACACACCTCTGTGAGCACTCTGGCTTCTCCTTCTCTGGAAGTTAAACCGACCCGAGTAATCCGAAGCGACAATCAGTCCCCAGCCCTCAAAGGCCCCGCAAGGCCCCGGACGAGTTCAATTACCCTTCCTCCTCCTCCTCTTCCCACTTCCGGTAAGAAGGCGACTATACGCAAACCTCCACTCTGCCGCTCCGCAACGTAAGGGTGCCGAGAGGACCAGAAATCGCTTCTTTGCGGTCGACCAATCAGAAGCGCATGCGCAAAATGCAGTGCGGGTGTATGGAAAAAGCGAGAGTTGTTTGAAGAGCGTTCCTCTGGGAGGAAAGGAAGGGGCTCTTGACGTCATAGGCCTTCCTCTTGAAAAGTATGTGGGTTTTTTTTCAAGCCGGTCGGTCTGGAGTTGTTTTTGTGTGGGCAGTCTCTTGGAACTGATAAGACTGAACAAAGATATACTTAACCTTTGAATTTAGCAACATTTTCTGGGGGAAGAAATGAGATTGGGTAAGGGAGCTGCACGGAAAAGAGAAGGGGAGAAGGTTGCAAACACTTCTTTTTCTTAACTGCCTGAAGGTGAAAAGAGAAGATGCCCTGATACTGCTTAGCATAATGTTATATACAATTAGGAATGTCAACAGTTGCTGTATATATTATACCTCAATTTAAAAATACAGGGGAGGGCCGGGGATTTAGCACAGCCTGCCTCTGAAGCTCAAGGTCCTGAGTTCGATCCCCGGTGTGTGGGGGGAATATATAT